CACTTACGTTTCTAGCCGTCTATGAATATATGGTATCGACACATAAGCAGGGAACGACAACACTTGGTCGGGCGTTTAGATGACTATTTCACGGGTGTTCATCGTAGATGTAGCCATGTCAATACTGGAGATAAGCGTTTTAGGGAGATATGAGTATCTGGTCTACACGAAGAGATGACGCTTGACGCCTAAAGGAACTCGAAATTACATGAAACGCGAATACAGTCTTACTACTTCTATAAATTCTGCACAATCCTCACCGATAACAAGCGCATGTTTTTAGGATATCCCCGCGGAGTTTCTGAATCTAACCAGATCAAACCCTTAACCTTCCAGAAGTAGACTGAAAGCAACTCATACGACCAAAGTTAAAGGCGCACCCATATTAGTAAGACTCAGAGCATTGACATTTGATAGACTTAAAATCGCTTGGTCCGAATTCGACTACACGGGGTAGTTCAGCACTATCAGTCCCTGTGATAGCCGATGGATATCACTTGGCGTGATCTCGATGAAAAATGAGGTAGGCTAATGACCATAAGAAGACTAGTGGTATCTCAAACGTTATACCGTACTAGATAGGTATCCAATGCCACACATTTAAGATTTCATAAGCAGTCCATAGGGTATAACCATATTTACTAAAATTAATTTGACCAGAGCATATTACAATATCTCAGTAACTGACGAGGTTATACCTAAGGCAGACACTGAGATGTTGTTAACTGTTGACGTTCATGCGCATGCCATTCTGCCTGAAGAACATGGCAGCAACACTTCATAGGTTTATGGATCATCTACTTCGGAGTAGGCTTTTGAGCCAGGGTATATCAGTGATTTGTCGATCATCAAGTATAATACATGATAGCTGTATGAAAACAACTTGATGAAAACGTTATGAGCATACATCAAAATTTGTTTTCGCAGTTGAGATTTTAAATTTAAAAGGTAGATAATTCGGAAACAATTCAAACATACGGTGACAAAATGGTGAATTGTCACAATGTTTAAACACAACAGGAGATAAAGATGTTGCTTCGGCGTGTCTCCTTCTTATTTCTCCTCATTTTCCGTGAAGAATACGCCTTTATTTTTCTCGTGTTTTTTTATTTTGATTGGTCGGAGTGAAATTTCTAGGGTACAAAATAAACTCAGAAAAGAGTGCCAATAAAGAACAGGTTGACGTTATTAGTCAGTACATATATTCTATGTTCTTCGGCACACCTTAGAAATTTTCTAGGTTTAATCTACTTCCATCGCCGATTCGAAGCCGCGAACAACAAATGCCACAGTTTACAGGTCCTCTTAAGGAAAAACAAAAAGCTTCCGAGCTGACGTCTGAAGCTATTGCGACTTAACATACGAAAGGATAAACTATTCCAAGCATCTGCGTTAACATGTTTGGATCCCAAGTCAGCACTCTTAAAATGGTCGACACTTCAAAAAAGCGGTAGGATATGCCCTTAATCAACTGGTAACTGACTGCATTCCCAAAAAGAATAGCTCTCACAGAGACTAGATACTCTACTTCCAGCGAGGACTTACAATTTACTTAGTCATGAAACGTTTTCGATATATATTTAAGAGTTGAAGATTATTTGCCTAAACAGATCATAAATCACTGGAAAATATATCTACAGCTAAAGTTGATGGATATTAAAGCTGAGAAAATGGCCAAGGCTTTTACTAAGGACTGGGTGAATGTTTTTGTTACCACTGTCACAACAACAATAAATGAAGGAGTCCAATTGAAGTCTAAGCTACTCAACAACTTGTCGAAACTTCCAAAAGCTATATGAATACACTGAGCTGCATATCACTCTCAGGCTAATGGGTCGGTGGAGCATTTCCACGGTCATCCAAAAGCTGCCTTCCATTCGAAGGTCTAGTCAAGCAGTTATTAAATTATACTTTTCCATAACTCAACTACACCATTCGTAAACACTTCTTCGATCTGCTTCTCGTCCTTTTCTGTTTCCCTCTCTTTCTCAGCGCCGTCATGAAACACCACCGAAAACCGCGTATGTGGAACTTATTTGCATTAGATGATATCCGCAATATTTCAGAAAGATGTATAGATTTTTTATCAGAAGCCTGTTGCATTTATCATCTGGAAGAAACTATTAAGCAGCACAAAGTGATACGTTAAAGTCGACCTGTTCAGCTATCCGATTATCCATTTACCGCATGGCTTCTTGTTATAAACAGCTCTGTACTTTACTTGCACTAATTCTTGACCAGCAGTTAATCGTTGCAACCAAGCTTTTTTAGAGTGCGTCAACTTTTACATTAAACATTCAAGGTTTACTAACGTTATTTACATTCTTACGTACGAAAATTTATTTCTCTAACGTCATGACTCGAATGACTTTTGATATATTAAACTTAGTAACTTATTACAATAAATCCTGTAGCATTTGTAACATGATATTACCTGTAGATCGACATGACTCGTGCAACATATTGGTATTTGGGAATAAATTTCCAGTATTATTACTATAAAATCAGTAGACCCATGGTACAGTACTTACATACAAACCCATTTATTATTCTGTTGGTATATCTGCACGAATGCTCTGTTATAAATTTTCACTGACGTTATCTCTTTAATAACCTTGGTTCGGTAGTACGTCTTCTGTAAACTGAAATTGAATAAGGCCATTAATAATGATTATTATAGATCGTGCCTGTAAAAATGACGTGTGCCCGTTATGTCATAAATATACATTATTATTAATTGTCAGCACATGTACTAGCGTTCAAAAAGACAAGAAGCTTCAGGTGCTAATGCAACTACTAGAATTAGGATGTAACCAGATGCTCATAGTCGGAGATTTCAATACTGTCTCCACATCTCAACAGTCAGGATGCAACTACAAGGTGGTTCCCTAAGCGATTTTCACAGTCATTGGAAGCTCAGGACTGACTAAACATGTTAGTGACACCTGAGAATGGACTAAAGGAGGAAATCCTACGAAATAGATCTGTTTGCCAAAAAACGATCACTCCTTAGTCGAAGATATTCATATCCAATCATCAATAGGTAGGAGCGGCCATGAGGTGGTCATATTTAAAGTGGTCACGAATGAGGTACTTCGGAGGTTTAAGTTCACCTTTGCTACACTGTGGCAGGCTACGCGAGTAAGAGGGTGCAATTTAATAGGGAATGACCACTGAGAGGTAATGACGGGTATTGCACAAGGAGCTATCCTACACGGCGAACCTCTAGTGAAAACACATGGAAAGAGAACAACCTAGATTGCACAAGACTCATCATGCATGCTACTGACAGGATGGAGTGTCCGGAACAAATAGTAATTTCCTCTAATGGATTCCGACCATAGCTCTCGGTTGGCATTGTGAAAAATGTATAATTCCAAAGTTCAGATTGACGAAAGATATTTCTAGACCACACTGACAGCTCATATACAAGCAAGTCCGAAATATCTCACTCAGTTCATGACCAAATGGAAGCCTTTGAATTCTGCTCTTGCACTCTCAAACGTCCCGAGGATTAAGATCTTACCAACACATGACAAAAGTTTTTAATGCCAACTTCACCGATCCATCAAATCAGGAATGTATATACGTAGAGCATTCCTCAACTCTAGTGCTAGATGACGTACTGGAGCAAATACACTTAACTCTCGGGTTAGTAATATGAAGAATAAAATCCTTGTGCCAATTAAAAGTCACTAGGATTCTAAAACATCCGTCATGTGGTCCCTAAGCAATGCATGTCATATGTTTAGGCACACCAACTTTCAAAAAAAATAAGCAGGCTACACTTTCTACAGTCGCCAAGTGAGAAGTTAGAGATCTAACCTGTTGCAGATCAATAGCATTACTCAGAACGCATTTAAAGTTAATTCATGGACCGATCGACGATCGAGTGAGGTAATACATTGGCAAAAATAGCATTCTATATGAGGACCAAAACAGAATCAGAGAACCCGGGTCCCGCACATCCGAACTTCTCCCAGTATGAGGACTGGACGACGTGCATGAGCTAAAAGACACCAGTCCATGCGATACTTCTTGACTTTACGAAGGAGTTCGACACAGCACCACATGCACTTCATACTGCAAAGGTTACAAAGAAGGGTTACATTCACTCATTTCTTTTGCCGCTTCTAAACTACTTGAATAACCGGATGTTCAGTATAAAGGTAAGAAGTGTGGACGTAAGCTGGAAGGTCTCGACATCGAGAGGTTTACAGATGATCAATTTGGGATCACTCCTATCCCTACTTTTTATTAAGTACCTCTAAAATGAAACTAGGTCATCGACCTTCACATAAGCTGACGATACTGAGACATGGAGGCAATTTGGGTTCTTTTCAGCTACCGGAGGATCCTAGAACAAATATGACCTATCAAAATGTTATCTTATGAACATTCAACCACACAAAAAGCAAACAACACACACCTGTCATGGAAATCTACTCGCAACCGACTCTACAAGCACTATCTAAGTTTGCTAACCAGAGAGCTTGCAATACAGCCCGAACTTATTCGGGGATGGAGCCAAAGCAAATGTTACTACTTGCTTTACTCGGACGAGGATTGATACTGACCACCAGAATTACTTCTTGTGCTGTCTTAAATGTACTCGAGACATCACCTAGAAGTCCACAACACTTTTGTACATCTTAAAATAGTCGTCTTTTCTTGCACTCGAGTTTTGTTTTTATTATTCTCCACATTACAACTAATCGAACTCCTGCGTTATAATATGACAAATGATGGTTCCAGAAATCATTTTGCCTCGAGAGAAACACACTCGCTCAAATTACGATATATGCAAACCTACAAATAACTATAAAACTGACTAGAAATTGTGCAGTGTAGTAGACAGACTGCTGTCAACTAAAGATTATCAAGGAAATGGAACCGTTCTGACACAACATAAAGGAGAAACAAAAATTTAATCGATTTAGGCAAGCTCATCACAAAGATATAGACTTGTTTTACTAGATCTCTTAATTCCAAACTCTCAAGGTTGCAAAAAGCGAACACTTGATCGCCGGTTTGTTTACTCGGTATTATTAAACTACGGGGCAGGGTCTGTAGTGCCACTCGATATTCCCGCTACCAAATATGAAGCAAAACGTACTTCAATATTTGTTGTATGATGGAATGAATACGGAAGGCCAGTTATTCAGGATTAAAAAAAGTGATTTTAATATTCACACTACTTTTATTTCGGATAGATGATGTGGTTCATTTCGTTTTGGACGTGTCTCTGATTGGTTGCAATGTCCGGTTTTTTATTAATTATCCTGATTCCGGAGTTCCATTCCAGAGGTTGCAATATCGAGAGCTGCCTTTGAATAACCCAACTCTTACTCGCAAACAATCGGATTGTTTTGATAATTTTTTCGAGTTAAAGAAAATAAGTGTCTGCGGATCTTTTCACTTTTACTTTTCAAAAGATGGGTCTTCTCCTAGCACTCCATCAACCGCAACATGTCTGAAAGGGAATATAGCTGGCTCAGGATATATTATCGTTGATCCAGATTTCACTGGTAAAAAGGTTGCCACGGAGCCCTCCAAAAATAGTTGTGGGAAAAATTGGGATTTAAGTGGCGTGGTCCTTCAGTCTTATTTGTCCAAGAATCTTGGAATATTCCCTGAATGGGAATCAAGACTTTATACAGCCAGGAATGGTGGTTATAATATGATTCATTTTACTCCTCTTCAAGTTAGTAGCTTTCCTTTTGATTGTCTGTTTTACGTTTTATCTTAATGGCGAATTTCAATGTTTACATTTTGTTGGTCCCAGTTTTGTACTGTCATGTAAGGTAATCTGAACGGTATCTTTCTAAGCGAGCAAACTAAACAGTTTTGAAATCAGCCGAGATGAATAAAGTGGTTTATAATCACATACTAAGAACAAAATATTATCACTGTATATCTTTTATTAAGTACGTCTGAGATTGTTTTTAATGAATTTGTTAATGAGAAGTCTTCAGTTTTAACTATTTTATTGAGAGCACAAAGTGATGCAAGTTAGGCAACTATCAAAAAATTGAATGATTAAACTGCTGCTATTTTTTGACATGGGACTCCTCAGCAATATACAGTCACAACTCTCGTCATCGGAGATCAAACTCAACATCTTCCGTTTAGTACTTAAACGCTTAACCTCCGGATTACTGGACCAATATCCAATGGTGTACAAACGTAGCTTAAATCATTCCGCAATGCCACACGACCATCTTCTATCGTCTTTCGTGGGTACCTTCCTCACCTTTGAGACAGTTAAAACAAACTAGTCGCGACTTCTCACTAGAACTCCATAAACGTCTTCCCTAAGCTAGCCACCAGTAAATAAATGACAAGTACCAGTATGGTGGGTTAGGGAGATTGTTTCTTCGGCAGAAAAGAGAGCCCCTTGGCTTGTAAACTCAATTTCAGAAAGCAAGTATTAATTGCAGTGCCTAAAAATATTGACAAATAAAATATGTTTAATGAAGGTGGGGTGAGTTGGATCCTTTAAATTAAATCAGAAAGTCTAGATTTTGACATGTGTATAGAGGTAATACATGAAACAAGACCTTTTGATCATTAGCTTAGTGTACGTGAATGTTCTGAATTTCTATTTACGTTACAGGAACTTGGCTATTCTCGTTCTGCTTACTCTCTCAAAGATCAACTCACAGTCAATCCTAGCTTTACTCCACCTGGGGCAACAAAGAAGGTGGACTGGACAGATATTGAATGCTTTATCAAACATTTGGAAAATAATTGGGCAGTACTTAGTATGACCGACTTAGTTTTCAATCATACTTCAAATGATAGCCCCTGGGTTCACGAACATCCTGAATGCGCTTACAACGTTGTTAATTCTCCTCATTTAGCTCCAGCGTATATTCTGGATCATATTGTCTGGCGTTTAACAGTAGAAGCCAGTACTGGATCACTTGCAAGTTATGGTATCCCAGCAATCTTAAACAATCCAGATAGTGAGCTTCCAGCTATAGAAGTTTGGTTGACCCAGAAGATAGAAGCAGCGAAGTTATATGAGTTTTTCTTAGCAGATGTTGATATAGTATCAAAAGAATTCATTTCTTGGTTAAGTAAGTTTCTAAAGTATTCTACCCACTTTGTTTCCGTCTTTCAGTACTTATAACAAATGGTCTTAGCTGGAAATCTTAATGAGAAACAAAAATAGATGACTTCCGGCAGCACCATTGACGTCATTTATTTAAAGCATAAATAATGTTTACATACCAACATATTTTGGCATTATAAATAATACTTCGAATTACATTTTCCGTAATTTCTTGCGGATAAGGCAAAAATATGTTCTTGTCTCATTATTTACCTCAAAAACGATCATTTAATCATACTGTGGATGTCAGTCAGCCATCTCATTGTCAACGTAGAGCCGGTCCAATTTGTCATACCAACGTGACACATGGTGAATAGCTTAGGAGTCACACTAATGTACTAGTAATGATAAAATGAAAAGCTACCCACCTGAATCAATGAAGACTCATAATCTTATCAATCGACTCTGGGGAATGTAAGTGAATGTGAGCAATGTAGTGTTAGATAATGATTCAATTTTTTATATTTACGTGTAGCATAGATTTATTTAGATTGTATTTTGTGATAATCTAAGTCTACGGTCCATATTGTTGAGGTAGCATAACCATTTTTTGTCAAGTGAAGCGGAGTTTAATGTTACCCTAAATCTTTCCGCTATTCTTTCAGCCTTGAAGTTTGAAAACCTTTTCGGACATATAGATAAGCAAACAAGGACCTCAAACGAGTACATATTGACACAAGCTACAGTAATTTACATTAAAAAATGGATTTTATCACGTTTGGTACCATTTCACGACTACTTTAATTATTCTTAGTCTTGGACAGACCAGTTAATTTATTCTTTTTGGATCATTATCTACACATACATTTGCTTTTGTCAAATATTCGCTTATAACATTGATTATTATTATATGAGCGCATGTGTGTGCGAAAGACAACTAGGAAGGGATCACGGAAGCAATACACCGTACCACAAAGTGCTAGGCCACAAGAAGTTCCATCGTAAAATATAGATCTCTATCGATATCCTGTGCATGACTCAAAAAAGCAAGAAGGCAGTAATTAACAACAGCCGAACGAGAGCAGATAATGCCAAGGTGCAGGCCAAATACACAGAAGAAAACAAACGCGTGAAAAGACGCATTAGAGCCGACAGAGGGAAATATGACCTAGCAACGAAAGCAGGAAAGGCTGCAAGCAAAGAAAATATCAGACAATTATATAATACGACGAAGAAAGTTGCAAGGAAATATAGCAACCTAGAGCGACCGTGTAGAACACTTTGAAAAGCTCTTGAGTAGAAAAGCCCCACTGAACCCAAACAACTTCGAGGCAACACACAGACCTTCCCATAGATGTTATCACACCAACAACCAAATAAGTATGCATTTCCATAAAACATTCAATAGTGATAAGGCAGCAGGACCAGACAGCATACCAACATAAGCACTAAAGTCAGACATGGAAGTAATTGCAATGATGCTTCACATTCTCTTCAAAAAGATTTGATAGAGAGAGCAAGTACTAACAGAATGAAAAGATGGACACCTCATCGAGATACCTAAGAAAAGAGATCTCAGCAATTGTGAGAACTACAGAGGCATCGCACTACTATTAGTACGAGTAAAGCTTTTCAATAGTGTTGTTGAACCGAATGAAGGATTCAGTAGACGCCCAACTTCGAAATGAAGAGGCGGGGTTTTGTAAGGATCGGCCGTGTGCAGACCGAACCGCCACACTACGCATGATTGTTGAGCAGTCAGTTGAATGGAACTGGTCACCATACATCAGCTTCCTTGACTACGAGGAAGCATTTGACAGCATAGATATGAGGACCCAGTAGAACCGTCCTCGATACTATGGAGCACCTAGGAAGAATGTCATTATCATACGGAATTCTTACGACATGCTACACTGCAAGGTCGTGCATGTAGGCCAGCTCACAAATGTCTTCCAGGCGAGCACTATTGTCAGACGAGTCTGCTTACTTCCGTCCTTTCTCTTTCTTTTGATGACCCCTGTACATCTCAGGGGAAGCACGAAATGCAGTGCATAGCACGGATGCAGCTAGACAATTTGGACTTTGCGAGCGACCTTATCCCTCCCATGCTGTACACAGCAACAAATACTGGTAAAGTTAGCCAGAGTAGCAGCAGCGTCTGCAACAGTAGGCCTCAATATACGCAAGGGAGAAAGCAATATCCCGAAATGCAACACAACGAGCATCAACCAAATCACGCCTGAATGAAAAGCTCTGGAAGAGATGGAAACATAGTCGGTTGGACCATCTTGACTGGGGCCTATGTTGTACCAGGGGTAACAGGCTTAAGTAAATGAGTGTGGGTCTACCACTCACTCTCTTCGTTAAATGTATTTAGTCGGTTTTTCTGTCTGACTATAAATATTGAGTCACGCCTCATTAAATTGATATGCCACGTTTGCCTTCTTCGATCAGTTTCTCTCTTATCTGTCTGTCTGCGTTTGCAGATGAATGAGATATATGTATCGAAAACTCATTCTCGTATTTGGCCTACTTTATTTCGTCATGCACTGACGAAAATATGTACGGGGCCAAGCGGGATGTGTATTTTATTAACGTCATTATTCAATAATAATCGAGTCAGACAACAGGCCTATAGGATTAAGTCGATAGATTGAACAGAAAAAGGAGTGGAAATGGTATACATTACAGTGAGAAATTCGATATCGGTGTGATTGTTGAAAAGAATCTAATGGGGTCGAGGAATGACAAGTATGAATAGCTTGGATATTCTTACCATTGTTATAATGACAAGTATTCGAGAAAGCATGATAACTACAGCGAATTTGATTTATGGGTTTTAAAATTCTTCAACAGTGACAGGGAGTTTCTCGTGTAGCTTACATGTTCAGTATTATGAGTCAGAAATATACGATAGGATTTTTCAGCGTAAAATATATTACAGGCTGGTATCTACACAATTCGTTCATTTTGTTCACGGAACAGAGTCCTATCTTCCATGCCAAGTGCGGTGTTTAATAAGTTTTTAATTACGTTTGATGTCGGTTCAAAACTCTTTGTATTTCGCTAATACACAAAAGTTCCCTTGTTTGGTTTTTGAAGATAGGTATCTATGTTTTAGAAGCTTTTCAATGGCTAGTGATAGGTAATTATTCAACATATATGACACTCATATTCTTTCGTTGGTTTTACTCTTCCCTGAAGAGCTTTTTTGCCTTCCTAAAAACACCTTCAACAATGATTTTGTGACTTTTTATGGGGATATTTAAGTCAATTTAAAACAAAAACAGACAAGTATATTCTGGTATTTACAAATATTGTGTTGTTGCTTTAAAGTTGCTCATTTGCTTGTTCAACTTTTAGGAAAACATGCAACATTTCCTTCATTAATTTCCCCGAATGAAACTAACTTGTCGCTGAAAATTGACGGGGCCAGAAAAGGAAGACGATTTGGGGCTACTGTTGATTTTTCAATAGCATGTCTTGAAATTGTCGGTAAAAATGAGAATGAACTTCCCCTTTCTGAAAGTGAGGCTGAAGCTGCTGGTGAAAAGTTACGAGTCAGGTTAATATCTCTAAATTATGACCAAGTTAATGAAATTAAGCATCATTTGCAAGCTGCCGTAGGAAATGTTTTGGCAAATGCTCGCTATCGATTTTACGATCCTCATGGACTTAAGCTTAAGCAAGTTACGTTAGATACACCTATTATGTGGGCGTAAGTACATTCAATATCTTTTTGTAATTTTGCATACATTTATTTGTGTATAAATTAAAATATATTATATGCATTTTTATATATCATAATGGTATAATATAATATAGACAGATATTGTTTGTTAATTTGCCCTATTCTTATTAATTTCTTTATTTTATCCCATTATTCAACCTTGTTATCTTTAAATGATACAATGTTACTAAATAATTACTCATAATCTGGTTACTTAATTTCCTTCAGTGTCTTATCTATTTTCATCGTATTTTATCCTAGTTTCTCGTATTCCATCAATATTTTCCGACTGCTTGGAACCAAATTTATGAAGTGTTTCTGATTTATTAGTTTTCATTAACTTGTGTGATAGAAGACTTATTTCATTCTACTAGTCGAACTTTAAGTTTGATATAAACCACTTTGTTTTACTAAAAAGTGTTTATCTAAAAGATGAAATGTTTAGTGGTGATACATTTACTGTCATAATAAAATTCACTTGAACATCAATTTGATATTCGACAAAGGATAATACTGTGTAATTGTTTCATCTCTAACAATTAATTAACTGTTCCTATTGACGAAATGTCAGATTTATAGATAATTAAAGTACAGTTTCGTTAAAAAATGGTTTCTCTCTGTCGATTTCTTTACTGGCAATGGTATGTGTGATAGTTGATTCTAATCCAGCGTCTACGTTAAATATACCTTCCGTTTGATTGCTTATTTAGTGTGCATCGAAAGTCTACCCCTCAAACATATTCATTTTGTGATCCACCCAATATGCGGTAAATTGTAATACTTTTTTCCATGTATGTTTAACAATTGTTTTTATGTGAATTCTAGCCATGACTTTCAGGAGTACAATTCTTTATAAAGAACATCAGTAAACTATTTCAAGGTCTACTACATAATAGTTGAGATTTTAGTTAATTGTTTCTTCACTTCGCATACTTCTTCCACTTTCCTATATGTTACATATTTCAATACGATATTTTCAAACCCATTTTAGTATGCATCACCATATACTTTCAGATAATTTTTCTAATCACTGTTTACATCATCTATGGATAGTTGGTGTTTTTGAAATATTTAACAATTTCAAAGGATTGGTAGATTTTCGAGAGAAGTTTGGAGAAAACATGTTGTTTTTGTCTCAGTAGAGAGGTCTCGAGAAAAGAAAACTAAGTATGCATGTTGCAATAAGAATATAATCAATGTATTTCTACATGACTAGAATCTTTAGTCATAACACTTACTGAATAATCAACTAGCTTTTTGTTTTTATGTGTAAAAACAATATCGTAATGTCAAGATAAGCCATTTCAATATTGCTACAGGAACTATATATCTGATTGGTTATAAAATTTGGCAACCTATTACATGTTAACATAAAAGGCTTTCATACTTATATTGTCTAAACATTAATAATATTGTTTTCATGTCGACAAAATTTAGACCCTATAGTTGCGTGTCTGAGTCATATTCCTAAAAGACTGACCCACAATTCTGACAAGTGTAGTGTTTCCCAATTATTTGGTATATATTTAATACTTGTCGGTGAAACTGATAATGGCACGTTGATGACTTGAAGTTAAATTTATGTGGTAACGCTACACTATTTCACTGTTGAGTGGTGTTTTTTAGCTGTCTGACTGCAATAAAAAGTTAATTGTTTACGAAACCCATGTATTGTTGCAGTGAGTGGGATTAGTTAGCATTCATAATTTTTAAATATATCGTTATCATAAGAATTTTATCGCTTTCTTAATAGGTACTTTTATCATCCAGTCCCTGATGTAGAAACCATTGAAGAAGCTGAAGCAATTTTGGAAACCAAAGATGCCGCAAAAATTATGGCTTTTAATGGATGGGTGATGAATGATGATCCTTTGAAAAACTTTGCAGAACCTAGCTCATTTGTATACTTACGCCGTGAACTTATAGTCTGGGGTGACTCAGTAAAGTTACGGTAATTTTTGTCCCATTTGAATTTTCACTGCATAAATTTGTACACATATATGTTTTCAAAACTACTAGTTTTCATGTGGTCTTTTTCATAATAACTAATTTGCAACCCAATTCAGTGTTTAAGTAAATAACTATATATATTCTTGTATTAGTTAACACTTGGAGTTATTAATTCAATGAAGACCGCAACGTTTTATAACTTAAAAATTTGAAGCATTATTTCAGCTGGAATTATATGATACACTGTATATATATCGATTTGGTTGGGATGGTTTATGCTTCATCACATCTTAAGTTTCGATATTATTTTATGCAGTTTGTTCCATTATTTGACTTTTTTAAATCATATTCTCTGTTTTTTGTTTGTTACTATCATTGATACCTTTACTGCTTCGGCTGACCTGCCACTAATCTTGCCAATTTTCTTTATCTGTGTTTATAAAGTGTGGTGATTCGAACCGATGGAAATTCGTGTTAGACCCTACATTGATTAAGACTGACTAACTCCCTCTTATAGAACTAGTGTGTTATCATCAACCCTTACAAAATAAAGATACTCAAAACAGATAACTCGAAGATATGCTTGGTTATTTATGTATTGGTGTAGGTGGGAAATTTCTGTTATATGAATGCAATAAATAGTACTGTCTTGGCGGTTGTTTGTAAATTTTACTCAGTTTTATTCACTTAACAGTATCTGTGATTCTTCAAGACCCTAGTTATGGCTTCTGATTTTTGCTACAGAAATCGATCTTAATTTTTTACATCTAAAATCCATCGTTGTGCTGATATGATCATACTAATTGTCAAGTCAACAACACGTTAAACATGAAAAATAAAGATAACTGGTTACTGTACGATAATCACATCATGGAGATATATTTCATTGATCAAAATTAACTTATCAAGATAGTTTGTCCAGTTCACTTATCTTAACGCAGTAGGTAATGTCAGAAGTGACCAATGATTTCACAAAAATCCCATTCTAAACAATTTTACTTTAAATTGAATTTATTTATCTATTTTCGTATCTATCTGTTTAGTTTTTTGGTTACAGCAACCTAATTTTATTTTTTGGCAATTTTTAAAAACTTCAGTTATGGTGACAAACCAGAAGACAGTCCATATCTTTGGGATAGAATGACTAAATATACGGAACTAACCGCAAAAATATTTCATGCAGTACGATTGGATAACTGTCATAGTACACCTCTTCACGTAGCACAATATATGATTGATAAGGCTAGAGCTATACGACCTAATTTGTATGTGGTTGCAGAATTATTTACTGGAGGCGAATATGTTGATAACATTTTCATCAATAAATTAGGTCTTAGCTCTTTAATACGAGGTAAAGTTTGTTGGATGATAATGATAGTATTTTGTTTTATTTCGTATTTCTTTATTGTATTCGATTGCATTTGTTGCTTACTGAATTACTATCACTGTATGTAATTGTCATGAAGACCATATATGCTTCTTAAAATGGCACGAATCAGTTACCAGAAATAAATAATGTGACCAATTTATTCAACACTTATCGGTTTTAATCATCAAGGAATGGAATATAATTGCCAATTCAGGTAAAAAACAAAATAGTGGATGTTTTAGATTACCCAACAAGATACATCCTAAACATGAGTTTTCTATTCGTTGGCCATTACTGTTTTCAAGTACTGACTAAATTAACATTCTTACTGAATGTTACCAATCCTTTGTACAGAATGGTAATTAAACATATAATCACCGAACATTCTCAATTCGTAGAGGTTGGGTTTCACAGGAACAAAACGGAATTGCTCCCACCAAAACTTTTTAAACCCGACCTCTCACAGCCAGACTAACATCATGAAGGCGCCACAGATGGACCAACCTGGCATAAGCCTCTCTGGCTTCCACTAAACGTATATTAATCTCATCTGAAACGCCAACACCTATACTTTCACAACTACTCAGTTCCACAAACTGTTCGATTGCCAGCGGCTCATCACAAAGAGTGGGTGCCTGCATACGCTCCTGCCTGTCTTGCAAAAGTACTTTATATTTAGAAGGTGCAAAGTACGTACCATGCCTACGAATATTGACTGCCAACTGATTACTTGCAGGTTGCACGGCTTGAGCATCATTACACAGTAAGACAATATCATTTACATGCTGACAACCAAAACGTTTTTTCTCAAGTGACAAACACATCACCATTTACCTTCACCAGTATTGTTTCCAGAATGTAATTGATGGCATAATTAAAGAGGAATAATGAGATTGTGTAGCCGTTCCTGGAATAGAGCAGTGGAGAGAGGTGGTTTTCTGCCAACACTCTAGCTGAGATGTTTGCATATGGAGCCCTTTAGCTGTTAATAAGCTCCTCAGGCACATCTTTAATAGAGAATCCCAGAGTAAAATCCTGTCAAACGCATAGAAGGCTTTACTAGTATTAGAAAAAATAACATTTGGAGGAGGGTGAATGTATAGACAGTACCTTTGCGACCAAAAGGAAAACACGTCTGCTCTTCCTGAGTCGATCTTTCACGGATTTTGTACAACCTGCATAGTATGACAGAAGCCAATAGTTTGGATGCGCTCAGAAGTGAACTTATCCGTCCATAGTTGTTGCATCGTCGGCGTCAGCCCTTTTTAAGGATCTGTGGGACGGTGGCTACATTTCGAGGTGTTAGGACACCCACTAATTCTTAAAATTCCACAAACAACTCAGTCGGTTCAGTGATCAGGAGTTGGCTACCTTGGTTAAAATATCTGGAAATAATTCTTAAGGGCCTGGTGGTTGCGGGTGCTTGCAGGTTTCTTCCGTCTTGTTGGATCAATTAGTCAACATTATTCATGAAGGGAAGGACAGTCTGATCGATATTGTGGAGCAACAGACTAGGTGATCTGCTCAATTTTATTGTATTAATCCGTTTGGGACGAAAAGCCTGTTAGCCATCGAGATGTACGATAAGATTGGCGCAAATGAGGGCATGATCAAAGTTGAGACAAGTACCTAAAGATGAGCCGTAGTTTTGTACACAACAACGCCAGCGGTAGCTGATCGCGATGTGTTCAGTTTGAGTTCAGAATTTGAATGTAGAGTGAGGGGGTCGGGTAGCACATTGACGATGACTACCAATAGTAAGTTCTAGCTGGAAACAGGTTGTTGTTTATACAGAGCTGCGGCAGACGTTCACCGTTATCTGACCTGCGACCAATTAGTCTCCATTGGCCATCGAAGCGACTTTCCTCTGCTTAGATTTTCGACTTGTGCATTAAAGTCTATGGCTAACATTACAATATTTATCGAACACGTTTTCTTGAGATCGATTAATGCTGCTTCTGCTCTGGCTCTCAGTGTGACAACAGTGCCAGCAGAATCGGACGGAGATGCCACAGGGTCTCCAGATGAACGCACGTGAAGCAAGCTTTTCTAATCTATAGATGCGAAGCGAACGTGTGATACTTCACTAGAGTCTTGGATGTGGGCTTCTAAAAAAATAAAAAAGTCGGTGTCAAGAATTTCTAAATCCAACCAAACCTGTCTGTTATCCGTTTCCCATTTGTATGCAAACGTTGTTGGAGATCAGTTTAATGGTGCGTGTTGTTTCAAGAAAGCTGATTCAGTTTACGTATTCAGTGGTGGCATCTTAACTTTCGACTAGTCACTGACTTGATTTCGTCTAGATTGGACAAAACTTCCCCCAAAGATGAAGTACTGTATGAGTTGGAAAAACAACAGTGATCGCGGGATGGAAATAAAAAGAAATAGGAAGATAAAGAAGCGTTAAATGAATTTATACGTAATTAGATAGTTGCGGATTTCCTTTATTTAAATAACGAGAGAGAATGAAAACGTTTTCTTCATTAATAATCATTTTCATAATTATTTATGGGCCAGGAAACTTCCCGGGTACTCAGTCCAAAACAGCTGGTTTCTTTGGTAGGTACTCTTCTAGCCTTTGATTCAAAGGTACAACCTACAAGGCAGTGGAGCAACGCCAGATATAATCTCATGGTAGCTGGTGACCAAGGGTAGGCTCATATGCCATCCGACTCCTCTGGATCATGGAGCCGAAGTGCAGTATTGGTTTGGAATTAGGGATTTCCAACTTTCCCAAATATACCCTGTGTATCCACCAGCCCGATTTAATCTCTAAGCATTCTCTTTCCGCCCTTTCACTTCTGTAAAGAACACCCCCGTCACTAGATGAGTCGGACTTCCCTGGCAGTGACTATAATACGTGGCCATATGAGAGGACTCTCTCTACCCTCGGTCGTATCAGGAGATTTTAGAGCTTCAAGTTTGTCTGTATGCTCTTCTGTTACAGTGTTTACAAAGAGACGTTTGTTTGCTGCAAATTTCGTGAATGATATTCAAATTTGTGAAGAAATACCCACTTCCCAGTTATCTGTATGCAATAATATTTTCGGTTAACATCTGGTCCATAAGTTTTAAATAAACGTTTCATAGGTCCGTATCTCACGTACCGGAAATCTACTACAGTTGGATACATAAACTAAGTACCTATTTTATTTTCCATATGCTCTGGTTATTTTTCCGTGTTCAAAATGATATAATATCGTCTTCCTTAGGAACCAAACGTTTTGTAAGTGCTTTTTATTCTATCATCATTAAAATCATTATTTTAGACCTGATTGGTTCACTCTTATACTATAACATTCTTTAGAATAAACAAGCAAATAATAAAAATTTACTTTCACTTGTTAAAGCTTTCTCTATACATTCTTACAAGATTTACTTATTTCAAATCAATTACAATTTTAGAATCCCTATCAGCTTGTGACTGTCATGATTTAGGTCGACAAGTTCATCGATATGGTGCATCCCGACCTGCTGGAGCATTTTTTGAACGAGCCAGTGCACGTCGTCTATATCCGAGTGTATCACATGCTGTCTTCTATGATCAAACTCATGATAACCCAAGTGTATTGGAGAAACATTCTGTTTTTAATTATCTGCCTTTATCTGCAGTTGGATCGTTTGCTTGTTGTGCAATTGGTAGTACACGTGGTTATGATGAATTAGTCCCACATTATATTGATGTAGTTAAAGAGGAACGTTTCTATTCGCGATGGCCTGATCAAGTCAATTATAATATTGGTATAATTAAGCCAAAATCTATTTTAAATGAACTGCATAGTTGGTTATCATCTGAAGGATTTTCTGAAACATTTGTAGACCAAGTATGTAATTTATTATTATTATTATTATTATTATTATTACGATTTATTTCGTTTTTTTGTTTAAAAAATGAATTATATTGAAACGTCCATTGATTATACAACGTTTTCCTTATTTAATACAACTTGTAACTGATTGATTGATTGACTGACTAATATGTCGTAAACATTTACACTGTAGTAAATAGGATAATGTTGAAACATTAGACCTTAGTGGTTATAGTACTAAACTTTCAAAGATTCACTCAATCTATTTGTTCATTTTAAGAAAACTGAATATTATCAGTACGTCCCATGCAAAAATGGGTGTGACTGAGAACTGAGTATATGAATCGGTACTCGAAATATAAGTAGTATTATTTTTTAGTACAGGAGATTTGTGGAGCTGATTGAATTATGTAATCCACATTATGGAAGGACCTTAGGTAGAATGTTATACTGCACAGTTACACAGTGTATAGTGTTAGAAATTCTCTCATACTGGAAGCTTTTTGTTTAACATAAGTTCTGATACCACAACACAGGTAACTAGACAGATGTACGAAATTAAGAATTTGAAACCTTTAATTTACCATCTTATGCCTATGAAATACCACCATAAAAAATATAATACTGTCTTGTAGTGTTATTTTTATCATAGAAATTTTTTCACTATGCAGTATAGTGTATCATTACTTTCAATATTATTTAAATGTCATCTTTCTCATAAACATTTATTGTCTTTTGTACAAATGCTTAGTCGTTAACGGCAATTGGTAAATTTGTTTAAATCAGTTAAAAATTTCATTCGATAATTTGACTTAAGATGTCGATATAATAACAATGAAAACACTTGTTATCATGTTTTTTTTAAATATTTGTTCATTCTTTTTTAAAGATTACACCAAATGTATTAGGTGTGACACGTTTTTGTCCAGAAACTCGTGAAGCTGTCCTATTGATAACACATACAGCTTTTCATGATCCTGGACCTAATCCACACCATTCAGATTTTCATCCAATTCGGTTGGGTGGACGAGTGAATAGATTGTTATGTGAAATACTCTCGACATTTAAAGGGGATTATCCACCACAGAGAGATTTTAAAAAGAATCCACAGGTATGAATTATGTTGTTTCCGCTGTTTATCGTTTCACTTTAATAATACATAACAATGTAATTCTTTTGCCAAATCTAAATTTATGTGTTCAAGTCTCAGCTAATTTTCTGTGTAAATTTGTGCAGTAGGCTAACTTAGCTACCTAAGTCGCAGTTGGTTGAGCTGATTTTGAACCTATGACCTAATGAGTTTACTGTAAACTGATTATTCTAGATGATAATTCGCTGATTATATCGAATATGCGATTAGTGGATAAACATAATATAATATTTAATTTTTACAACTTAGTTAGTGAACAGACTACTGATCGAAAAATAATTGACCCATTAAAATAAAGGTCGCTTTTGATTGCCATAATGCCGTATACTAGATGACAATAAATGTATCTAGCATTTATTGAAGCTACATTGGTCCTGCTTAGATCTAACTTTTGATTGTAACTACAACCCGAAGAGAGCACTTACAGTGCCCATTTTGTATTCAAACATTAGTTTATTATTACTAAGTCAATTAGCAGTAGGTTTCTTTGTGCTAAATGATAAAATGATAACATTATGGCATTTTATCACATAGAGATAATTTATAGAATGTATTTTTAGTTAACTATCGTATTTATTATGCCATTTGTTACTGACATTTTCCATTGATTTCAATAAATGATTAATTATCTAGTGCATAAATTATTTAAGGTCGTCGTTGCCTCTCAAAATGTAAACATTTATTACTTAATATATTTACTAACTTGTCAAACTACTGAGTTGAAATATTGTTAGCGTACTGAATCTAGTCCATGTATTCATTTATGTTGTAATGAGTATCAGGTTTTTACGACAAAGATGTATGAAACTCTTTGAAATTCTGGTTTTAACAGGTTATAGTAATTTAAACGCAGAAAATGGACCTGCATTTGAATAATAGCACAAGTAAACAGTATGAACGAACAGATAATTTAAAATTCCAACTAGACACAAAATGTTAGCTTTTGTTGGATTGTTTCTTGTGTATCGTACGGAGAAGTTGGATTTCAGTAATATCATTAAACCGTGGTATTTCTTGTATTGTGAAGAATCGAAAAATGCAAAATAAAAGTGTTATAATGTCACCATCTGTTTACGGTTGATGATTAATGAATTCTTGACTATAGTAATTGAGTAAATGCAACTCACTTGACTAGTAAAAGTTTATATGTTGGGCTTTGAATCATATTGTTTTATGTGGAAGCTAGCGATGATAGCCTGATACCCAGACCAAAGTAGTTAGATCCAGTTTCGGACGTGTGACCTGTTTGCTGGAAATTAAATGCTTTAATCATTAAATCAATTATAATTCCTTGTGGAATCAACCCTGCAAACTCAATGTGATATAGAAGGATTATCTGACTGATGATACTCTTTTAGCGAAGTAAACCTGTCTGTTTATCTGCAAAACTTTCACCCAGGTTGGCATGAATTGCTGTCTATGTATTGAGGTAACGAATAATTACTCAACAAGTAAATGAAAGTCATCAAAGCTGTCATTATCAGTAAGAATTATCGCAAGCGATTCCCATCAAGCATATTGATGACGCCGGTTATCCGAAAAAATATATTTCCTTAATTATTTAGATAACTGTTATCAGAACTTTTACTCTTGTGATAACTTGTGGCCTGTGCGCCCTGCTAATGTATAAAGTGAGGATACCGCCAATCAGAGAGCATTGACTTATCGATCGGACCAATGACGCGTAAAACACGTGCGAGTAGTCTAGAGTCGTTATTGGTCCTGACTGACTGACTAGCCCAGCCAGTTAAGTCCAGAACACTAATCCGAGCCTCTGCGATATGAGTCGTTTATTTCAAGCATACTGGGTTTATATACCAACCAGACAGACCACATCGTACCAATAAAATATAAAACAACATTTGTAAAAGAATTAGGCACATGTGGCTGTGAATGAGGGAGGTAGTAATTAATAGACAGGGCATAACTCAAGAATAGTAGATTGTATAATAATAGTTCATAGATCAAAATAAAGCTCATAATAAGAGGGACATGAATATGAACAGTTTAGTTATTTAACAACTATACGAAAAAAATATACTCATAGCATTGGTCCATAAATGGATCCCAAAAGTTACCATTCATTATGCTTATCGGGACCTAACAACTCTTCAGCGTGTTTGTTGGTGATGTGTCCATAACACTCAGGAATCTATGTAACCTATGTTTGTGGGAACATTTTTTCTGGATTAGAATTGACCAATCTTGTTTGTTTCAAATCATCAATCACCACACAAATCAGATAATAAATAACATGCCTAATCTGGATCATCACAATTAATTGTGCTTTGAAAACCTGTTTTATTCTCTGTCCATATTGTATTCTTCATTGTCTAAACGTAAATTTAGTTGTTTAAAAGAGAGGCGCTAGTGCAGTTATATTTTTATATTCATATTATTCTTTCAAATGGAAATGTAGACATATTAAAAAACTTTTTTGAATTCAAAATGTCATGATACGAGATTTTAATAGTAAAACTTTAAAGTTAACATTCTCACCGACCATAGTATCTACACATTTTTCTTAACCAAAGATTAATTCATATCAGTCCTATTGTAGTTTGATATCATGAATCTATCGATGTTAGACCACCTTTGAAAACCCGGAACCACTGGACGGCCGTTTCGTCCTAGTGTACGACTGGTTTTCAGTAATGGTCTAACTTAGATCGAATCATGTATTAAACTGATAATAATCATGTGATCAACTTCGTAAAGAGTCGGAGGACCTACATTAACTTGCCATTCAGGTTGACTGGAGATCGTGGGAAACCGAAGTGTGGTTGAAGTCCAGTTGAACTGATCCCTAAATTGTTCTGCTCATCGATCCAATCTCCTGGATTGATAATGTATAATATGTCCATCTTTCTCTGAGATTGTTTCGCTAACAGTCGGGTTCCTAATACCGGTTTCCCTAACGAGTCTGAACAATTGTCTGCTATTACCTATTGCCGCTGCCTTTTCCATTTCTCTTGCTTTCGCTACCCACCACTGTTCACGATCATTGCGTAGACTTCTTGTCAGCTTGCGCTTAAGCTGACTCAGCTCTTCGTTATGTTCAGATCCAGATGGAATGAGTTTTCGAGCATCTATCAGTGCGGTAGATGCTGCTGAGATCCAGTGTTGCTCCCTAACCTTACGGTTTACCGTACTAGCAGATATCACTGCTGTTTCCACAGCTTTTCGGATATCATTCCATGCTGCCTCGGGGTGGGCATCACATACATGGCTGCCTAACTATTTTTCTAGTTGTTCCTGAAATATACTCTTAGTTTGGCTATAATTAAACAGGACCCTAAGAGGTTTCCTTGGAGTGTCTTTCTTACGTCCAGTAAGACCCAGGCAAATACGCGCTCGCACTAGAGCATGATCTGAATCTAAGCATGTACTCCAGAATGAGCGACAGTCTTCTATTGAGCCCCTCCGTCGGTGGCTGACAGCGATGTGATCTATTTGGGTCCAACGTTGAGAAGAATTAGGGGGTCGCCATGTTAAAAGATGTTTTTCCTTATGCTTAAAGTTAGTATTTGCAAGGAACAGGCGGTTATCTGAGCATAGCTGCAACAGACGGTCGCCATTATCTGTTCTTTGAGCCACGACAACATAAGATCCACCTAGGTGTCTTTTTCTTCCGCTTAGTTTGCCTACTTGATCACTAAAGTCACCGGACACTATTAATGCATCTGAGAGCCTAGCTTTTCGGAGAAGGTCGGAGAGCTTTCAGTAAAACTCATCTTTTACACCATCTGCGCTGCGGTCAGTGGGAGAATAGGCAGAGACGACGAAGAGGCAACGACAAGTGTCCTTATCTTTCCGGGTTCTTATTGTTCCGTTTAGTCGGACAGCGCACAAACGACTGTCTACTGGGATCCAGTCTAAGAGAGCTAGTTCTGCCCTACGGCTCGATGCTAAACCTACGCCGGCGAGTCCACAAGAAGCAGAATCAGGGCTTCCAGATACACGGAGTGTGAATCGAGTTGGTTCTTTATTTTGACATGGTAATGTCAAATGAATAACGCTACTCGGATCCTGTATGCGCGTTTCGGAGACGCAGCACACATCGATGGCACGAGATTCTAAAGTCCTAGCTAAGGAAGCCTGTTGTCCTGTTTGGCACAGTGTTCGTATGTTAAAAGCTCCTACATGTAGTTTAGAGCATGGTTTCAGTAGACCAGGAATAACGTTCCGCGTACTCGAATCGTTTGTCCTAGCGGTGCAAGGTGAAAAAAAGAGGTGAAAAGGGTTAGTCGGGGAGGTTAGAGTGGTATTAAGAGGTGTAGGAAGGATTTGAATGTGACCAACTTGGTCTCGTGTACTGTTACGGTCTGATCTCACTTTTCGGCTGCCCACACCGTGGAAGGGTATTTCTTGAGGAACCTGAAGAGGAAGTTGGATTAATGTTGGCCTTAACGACCTGGGAACGTGACCGCAGAGCCCAGGGGCAACTGCTTGAGGCCGGTCGCGCACGGTTTTTTCGTGGTAGGTTTTTGACGTGTTAGCTCCATTCTTCAAAGGGCCTTACCGCCGGAGACGGAAATCCGTGAGGTGAGTTGTGAGATTCTTAGTGTCAACCTTTTCTAACCCCTTCCTTCCTTGTGAGAAGGCAGCATCGCCGCAGATGCTGGTTGTCCGTTCTCCAATCGACCTGCCTGGCATGGTAGAACCTACTGGAACATATGTTCCAGTCAATATAGCTCAGTTGGGTCATCACGACAGGCAAGCCCGGTGTTCGTCTTATTGTGCTAATAAGGTATGGCATCTTGGACCGATGTACATATGTGCCTGGTCCTAACGTTGTAGCTGACTGACTGAGTTACCCACCGAAGACAATGAAAGGTGGTCGCGCAATATTGTGGATTGATTGCAGTTAGACATTAACACCTTTAGATACCGGCCCAGTGGTCTAGATGTTATCCGTTCGCGCGTGAGACCTATGGCCCTAGGTTCGAATTCCGCTTGTGGGATCGTGAATGCACACTACTGAGTTGTTCCGTGCTAGGTCAAAACGGCCATCCAGTGCTTCCAGGTTTTCAGTGGTGGTCCAACATTGATTGGTTTATGATCTCAATTAAAACTCAACAATCTCCACAACCCTATATTGATAATTTTTTATTTCTTTTCCCCTTTCCTTTTCCAGTATATAAATGGTTTAATGTGTATGAATTACTCAATTTTACAAAATGTACCAGCCACTGAAAGTAAAACATTTCGCGTAGAAAGTTACTCAGATGAACATGGTGTTATGGTGGATAGTTTAATATTTTACAATTTCCCACCGGGATCAGTTGTAATTGTTTCAATTAAATTAGATGATAGCCAACTACAAGCCATTGCTGATTTACATAATTTCATGTCCCAACAGGTTAGTTTAGTTTTGTACATGTGGTTGTTTATTTCATTATTATTTTTATTTCTATAACACCACTGTTGATAATAAAAGTCTACACAATTTTATTCGTAAAACTTCAAAATCAATCATTTGTAAAGAGTGTTTTAAAAATTCTACTGGCCAACTGCTTGAGTACCCTCTTATATCATAGTTATTGAGCGTTCATGCATCATTTTCGAAAATAAAGCCCATTATTGAGATATGTGACCGACGCTTAAAGGACGTATTTGAATATCTTTTCAGCGAATATTAATTAAAAGTCTTATATTTACAACACTTTGTTATAGCCATAAATCTAGTCTCTAAAAATGATGAATAGGTCATTATAACAATCACCTCCTTACTGTGATAAAAGTTTTCAGTGAAACTGATTTCTATAGGATTTTTTGAGACTTCACATATTCGATACTGATCTTGGCAATTATCATGCATTTGTTCAGAAGATTCTCTATTTTATTAATATCTTCAAATAGTCAGTCACCGTTTAAGAGGCAGTTTTATAAAAAAAAAGCGTGAGTTAAAATAATTTGACCCCACTTGATACATCTACAGTTGTGTGAAAAAAAATCTAATGAATGATTCTGATTGTAAGCTTTAATTTAAACTCTTTATAAACCTTCAAATGATTGGATATTTCAATAAACCGTATCATTTACTATGATATGTTTTCAGTTGTAAGTGGTTACCATATTGAGATCATATTTTTTAAAATCAAAATTTAATCTGTTGTAGGAGTCTTGAAAGCACTGATTTCACTTAATACTACTGGATTGCTGAATAAGTCTGTTATCCTATCCAAAGACAAGAAATCTTAACATTAAGTCAGTTATTTTACAGGGAGCGCAATGTCATCTGATATAGGCGCAAGTCGTTGTAATCAATTTTTAAGGTCTCATTTTGTTGTTCATAAACTCTTGAAGTTGATACTGTTTCGCGATGGTTAGCAGTAGTAAAAAAAAGTGAAGAAAATAATCTTGACCATGATGAATTTGTGTATTTCGATGAAGTTCTGCCGGTTACTGGAGCTTCTCAGTTGTTCACGTTACAAACCTATACAAGTACTTGAAGAAGAAATCGGATTAATTTTTACGCAGCTGCGAAACCAAAAGCTAGTAATGATGCATGACAATTGTTGATGTAATATATTTTAACAGTTTAAACCATTTCGTAAATAATTAAACGACCGACTAAATAAAACTTTGTTTGAAAGTAAAATGTTGCAGTTTTAGGACTGGTATTTTCCGAGAATTTTTATTCATATTCTGTATCCAGTATCTATCATTGGAGAGATGTTAGTTACTCAAGGAAAACCTATTATCACATGAAATTTCTTTTCAATAGTCACTATGCACTGACGTTTTAAAAGATTTTATTCGACTTCTTTCATATAAACTTTTTGGACAAACTATCTCAACCAACTAGTATTTCAACTATTGGAATTTGACTAGTTCATCAAAATATGAAATCAATAATATCACAATCATTCAAGCTATGAGCAGAGGATTTATACTGGAGTCTTGTTTTTGGATTATTCTGATACCGTTGAATTTCAACTAGATTGTAATGCGTTCATGAAATATACATCTAGTTCCTAAGTCATTTTGGAAGTAAAGTTTCAGTTAATCAGACTGATACAACATAGAACCTGCGACATATGTTCACCAGCACAAGTTGCCACATCAGATCAGCACCGTAAGATGAAATTATCAAAATAAATAAGAAATTATTAGAAGTAGTAACACTATTTCTGGTTGTAACAACATTAAGCACAAAAAATATGTCTTGAGAAGAAAGAATGAATTCGTAAAATAAAAGTTATAAGTACTCCAAGATAAAGAGTGAGTAGATCCATTGTGACCAGTTCTATCGTTCAACGTCTTCAAACATTGCTTTTGTTGATCGTTTGGACCCCAACCAGTCAGTCTGCAACTATCAACATAGCTCAATCCATCTGTGCACGGCAACAACTAATCTTTTTAATTTTTTTAATTTACATAAACTTTGTTACATAATTTATCAGAAGAAAAAAATCCTAGCTTATAAGCATACAGAGGCGTTAAGAAAAGACTCATATAAGCCTAATTCATTTGCATGCATATAGCTATTAGCAAATATTGTTTTGTTTATGTAACAGTCTCTATCTTCTTAACTGGGATATTTCTTTCACAAAGGCGTACATCAAATCAGACACTATGTAGTATTAGCCTAGTTCTTAGTCTTTGTATTCTATCTATTGTGTAACAACGTGGTCATTAAACTAAATGGTTCTATTTCGCATTGGATGTTGTTTGGATGTAAGATATCTAAGAGCGATCAATAGGTTTACAAATAACTTAATAACTAATTTGTATTTAGAGGAGATTCGGGACTAATGGTGTTCCAGAATTACTCGTCAAACTAAGTAGCGAAAATTGGTATCAAAATTACAAAATATTTCATTGGAGTTTTAATGCAACGTGACGTTACATATCAGCGGTTATTTGTACAGATTATATTTCATACAAAATGAAATGTAATTTCGTTGTATATTTTGTCACTTTAATAGATAAAATTGACAACTGGTTTTTCTTTTCGAAATTATTTCCTGATGAAAACAAACTAATTTCATCCAAGATGCTTGTTGACACAACCAATCATTTCAAGTTATCGAAATATTTTATTTTTACTTAACAATAACCATACAGGTTCTAAATAAAGCTATTACTCCTCCTTTTCACATATGACTTTAAGACACTGAATTGCAAATTGAAATGTTCTTCGTTTCCGTTTAGAGCAATCGAGTAGTATCGTTTGATATTTTATGATATCTTTATTTCATACGCACTGGTAATTGGTTATTAAACCATGTTTTCAATATTCCTTTTAATCGACTCTCTTTAGCCAATATACTGTCTTCATAGTATATTCTATTCTGTAAATTGTTGAACTTATTTGTTTACGTATACATCGAGTAAATAAATCGTTAACACATACTTGGCAATCATTATCTCTTGTTCTTCTATATCCAGTTATAGTTTATTGCAATCGTAAATTCTCTTAATATTGATTCTTTCATTTACAGTTTGATTGTCGTTTATATGAACCTCGAACAAGTCAAGCTATGGGTAAAGGTGAAAATGCCTATATTCCTTTAAGTTTGCCATCAGGAAACAATTCGTTACTAAAGCCGAATTCGATCAGAGTTCTTTTAGGCAATATGAATTTATTGGAACTAAACAAATTACTCTTCAGATGTTCTGTTGAAGAATTAGCTGATGGATGTAACTTTAATTCATATCAAATACCTGATTGGGGTTGGTTGGTTTATTGTGGGTTTCAAGTGAGTACTTCCATGCTTTTTTTAAACCTTTATGTGATTTAGCATTTTTTCAGCTTCCACCCATTAGGTCTCAAGTTCAAACTCTTATCTACCTACTTCTGTCCTGACTGTCATGTAGTTATCACTAGCCCTCAAACAACTAGCATGTTTAAAGTAGTTACATAAACTACTGGATGCCGGCCCAGTAATCTAAAGGTTAGGTGTGCGCCACGATTTAGGATTGTCTATCTATACTGCTAATGAGTCTCATTCCAGGACTATACATCTGTCCAATGCTTCTTGTTTTTTTAGTGGCCGCCTAACTCAAATCATCTCGTGATATAAACTATGGGAAGCACGTTTTGAGGTTGAATTCATAAAACTATACTTGGCAAACGAATCTCATTTCTACAGTTTTGATCTAAATTGAAAAAACTAATTTATTTAGACTGTGGAACAAGTAGAGAAATCTTCGTTGGTTTTAATTAGTCTCTGGATGACATTTAAATTATTCGAAGGTAAAGTGACATATTTCAAGAATGTATGATGAACAAATGATCATCCAATTGTTCTTCTAACATCAAAATGCATTCCACTGTTAATCACTATCCAAAATTACAAAAATACGTGTAATTAATTGACAATATTGAAGCGCTCTTTTCAAGATGTGCATACTCTAAAAAGTGGCTGATCACTTCCAGTCCTTAATGCCAACAGGAAGATGCAAACACTTATAAATTCAATTGATTCTCGTTACATTATCCAGTGCTTATTTGAAATTAGTAGCGGATAGATTGGGCATATTGAAGTGAAATTTACTGGGTTCGAGTTTCATTGTGGATATCAACACTGGAATCCAGATAGAATCTAGATAGTGAGTCTCAAGCAGGACGAAACGTGCATCCTGGATTCCACATCTAGCCACTATCCGACTTCAATAAAATTAAAATGGATAGCTATATTTTCTCAAAAGTTATATACTGGTAATTATCACCATCAACACATAACTTTAGGTTTTCAAAGCTAGTAATTGCTTTATTCTTGTGTCCGTTAAATATTTCATTTAAGTTTACTAAGTAGTCCGATAGTAGAAGTAATAATCATGATGACACAACTAATTTTGAGGATAATTTATAACACCCTATAAGGAATTGGAATCAGATCATGTCAGTGTGTTATCCTTTGACCTCTGAATTTTTGGATCCATTTCGAACATCTGTCATTTAACGATATTGCTCAGCCGTTATTTATAGTTGTTTGTTATATCTACATTAATATCGACATAGTTTAACTCCACCAGTCACGAAATTTCATGATCTCGTTTCTTCTAGTTTACATAATGAACGTGTCTTAGGCAGACAGTAATTGAAAATCAGGAAGTACTGAACAGCCGTTTCGTCCCAGTATGTGGTTTCTCAGCAGTACACATTGACAGTCCCATCAAAGATTGTAACCACCACCTTCAGTCTCGCTCATATGCTCTACAATCTCTACATACTGCCTAAGGTGTCGTGGTGAGCGCTTAAACTTTAGACCACAGTGGTGGAACCCACGGGTTTACATGTCTAACTTTAATCAATTCGTGTCGTTGTGCATCTATCTTGCACTGTTATTGATCGGTAACTATCTCACACTCTATATGGTTGACCTCCACCAGTCATAGCTTTTCACTTGAGTTTGAGGAGCTAACTTTCGTACTTAGTCAATAGCAAGCACGTAATTATTATTACTATGGCAGGTTTATAAAGATTTGTTTGCAAGACTTATTTTAAAATCTCCCTGTTATATTATTTGTCTGTTTTACTATATTTTTGCATGAATACCTTACGAAATTTTTAATTGTTCGATTATCTATGCTAATAATTATTTTCAGGTAGTTCTCATAAATTAACATTAGGGTTAATCGATAAATGGTAATTTTATCTTCAATGATGCTTCAATTAATATCGCTTGATACCGTAATTTGATGTGCAACATTTGTGTCATTTGAAATGCATCTGTCTTGTTCGACTCGTTTAAAGTTATGTAGTCGGACAAGGTGAAACATATTTTTATCCTGAACAATTTAGCATAGGAGTTATTGGTGAACACTAAAAAAATCCTGTTAGTAGGTTATAAACTTTCCACACCTCAATACTATATACTATGATTAGTGGCTTTAAGTTCCTTTTTGAATAAGTATGTTTTAACTAAAATACTCTATTGTGAATCCACGAGCATTCTTATTATCTGACCTAAATGAGATAACTGAAGTTCTCAGCTGACTAGCATCGTCCCCACAGAGATTTTGCAGTTCTTTATTTATCCAATAAAGGAATTGTTATTATGTACTATTAAAAACCTGTAAATTAAACAGAAAAATTTGTTTTATGAATGGAAAATATGTAGCTTGTAAATAAATGTTGTCGATATCAAGTTTAAACTCATTAAAATTTTTAAACTGTGAGTCTTAGAAAAACTAATTAATACATTTTTATTATTCTTTAAGACTGTTCAGTCTCTTTGCTACTGAATGTAATTGTACCACGTAGTACATGTTGAACATCAATAATAATTATTTGTAATCAGAATACATTTTTTTATACTAACATCACTGAGGGTAGTACTGTTATTTTCATGTTCTGTACGTAATTTTATAGGGCTAGAAGAAGCCCTTGTATATAATAGTTAACCGTTGAAAGCGAAGGCAGCCTACTTGAATATCTGAGCTACATGTTCCTGTCATTTAAATATTTCAGCAAGTTATCTGTTTTTTAAAACTTTTTTTAACACCTCAATATGTCTATTAATCACATAACATATTCAGGCGCGTTTATGAAAGTTCTATGACTTTTCTCTGTACAAGTTACAAGAAAGTGCGATCAGTGACATCGTGGTGGTTGGCAATATGAACTGAAGAGAATGAACATTAATCATATGTCGATACCTGAACTGCTAAATTCTAACTGCCGATTCCTAATTAGCAAGATGAACTATCTTCAATTCCTACTAAGTCAAAACATGTATCGTAATTCTGGTGTCATCACAATTCAAGGATCTTGGTTAACTGATTTACAGGACGATTGCCTAGTATCACTACGTGATTTCAATATCTATCGTCAGGATCTATCAAGCAATAAAAAGAGGTTTGGCAGCGTTGTAGCCACGTTTGTAAACGTGAATGGTGTCGACCTACTTTTACATGTTTCAAATTTCCAAACGACTTTATTGGCTGTTGAACTTTAAGTTGTCGTCCAAAACACTTAAATACAAACAAATATGTTTATGTTACCAACATCTACGTGACCCCAGACTGCACATCATCTGCACTATCTGCTTTCGCTGGTGAATTCACTGAATTTGCTCTTATTGTTTTCAGTGGTTCATTTTCAATTATATGTAGTGATTTCAATACATGTGACTGTAGCTTTCTTTGATCACTAGGCCACCAAAATGTAGTACATTTTCCTATTCTTAATGATGCTCATTTAGACTTAATTTTCAATTATGGTGTGGGTACATATGTAACTCTTAAACGTGCTCTGTTGTCTAGCTTGGACCACTGTATAATTCGTGTTCAACCTAGAGTATATGGAAAGTGTGGAATGAGAACACACTTACATCAGACCAAAAAAGTCAGACACAGGAATTACCCAGAGGAAAATATCCAAAAGTTGAAAAGCATGTTTCCTGCACCTACCGGGGATTATTTATAGATGACTCATTGAAAAACACCGTTGATGTTATCACTTGTTATCTTAAGTTCTGTTTTGATTTTTGTTGTCCCATGGAAACCATTTTTGTAAGTTTCGATCAACTTACATCTCCACAACTAAAACAACTACGAAGGGTGAAAGAAAGAAAGTACAAGGAGAAAAACTCTATTGAAGTTAGTAACCTAAATGGTCTAATAGACCTAGAGATTAGACGTCTCAACTCTATGTTTACTCAAAAACTCCTATCTTGTAAATGCTCTTCATGTATGTGGAAACTCTTTAAAGAACTTACAATTGACAGACACATTAGAAGCGATAGCCAGCTGAATATTTGTTACTTAAATAAGTCTTTTGTACGTCAGATGATGTAATGCTCCCTATATCCACAAGTTTGAAGAATGGTTGTGTTCCTAGTTTTACTGAAACTCGTGTCCGAAGATATCTCCAGTCACCTAATTCATCCAGATGTTTAGGACCTGATGGTATCCCAAACCTCCTTTTTAAAAAAATGTGCTGACGTCCTATGTTATCCATTCACGACTATCTTTAACAGATCCTTCTCATCTAATCTCATACCGAAAATGTGGAGAAAGATGAAGATAATTCCTGTGCCCAAGAAAGTATCTGGTGATAAGAATGTGGAATTTAGACCTGTTGCAATAACTTCACCCTTCCTCAAAACAATGGAAAAATTATTAATACTTCCACTTCAGCCTGCGATAAAACAGCTTATTGATCCGTATCACTTTGCCTACAGATGCAAAAGAAGCACCTTAGATGCTGTGGTTGTTCTGCATCACAATATAGTGTTCAACTTAGAAATGGGTAAGTAGTATGTTCGATGCGCTTTTCTGCACTATACTTCAGCTTTTGATTCTATACCAAGACAACATTTACTTAACAAGTTAATCAGCGTCAACACTGAAAGCTGGATAACCAACTGGCTATGTTTCTACCTCTCTGGAAAAGAACAGTACATCGTGTTTGGAGGAAAGTGTTCGACGTCTCTACTGTCTCATGAAGGCGTGCCACAAGGAGCCGTTCTTTCCCGTCTTTTTTTCTCTTTTTTCGAATGATCTGCCATCTTCCACAGAAAACAATTTTGTGAAATATGCGGACAGTTTCAATGTATGTATGCCGATTTCTACCTTTTTACATCCCATAGAAATGAATTGGATTTGTCTCGTGTTGAATGGTGGCATGTTGTTAATGGTCTCATACTTAATCCGTCTAAATGTCAAACTGTTAACTTTAACCTGAGAGGTGAACAGCACCTAAACACCGTGTTGGCAGCCCATAATGCTTGTACCATTGGAGGTTCTTTGA